GTTGCCATACCAGGCGACGATGCAACCAGTCAGGATGCTCTCGATGGTGCAGCTTTGGAACCACACGGCCAGGTCTCTGACCTCCTCCCTATAGGCTGTCTTGTCGTTGTCTGTGATCAGGTTTACCACTGTTGTGTCGTCTGCAAACTTAATGATGGTGTTGGAGTCGTGCTTGGCCATGCAGTCATGTGTGAACAAGGGTGTACAGGAGGGGACTGAGCACGCACCCCTGAGGGGCCCCCATGTTGAGGATCAGCGTGGCAGATGTGTTGTTACCTACCCTTACCACCTGGGTGCGGCCCGTCAGATAGTCCAGGATCCAGTTGCAGAGCGAGGTGTTTAGTCCCAAGGTCCTTAGCTTAGTGATGAGCTTTGAGGGCACTATGGTGTTGAACGCTGAGCTGTAGTCAATGAATAGCGTTCTCATGTAGGTGTTCCTTTTGTCCAGGTGGGAAAGGGCAGTGTGGAGTGCAATAGAGATTGCATCATCTGTGGATCTGTTGGAGCGGTATGCAAATTGAGTGGGTCTAGGGTTTCTGGGATAATGGTGTTGATGTGAGCCATGACCAGCCTTTCAAAGCACTTCATGGCTACAGACATGAGTGCTATGGGTCGGTAGTCATTTAGGCAGGTTACCTTAGTGTTCTTGGGCACAGGGACTATGGTGGTCTGCTTGAAACATGGTGGTATTACAGACTCAGTCAAGGACAGGTTTAAAATGTCAGATGCACTTATTGATGAAGCCAGTGACTGATGTGGTGTACTCCTCAATGCCATCGGAAAAATCCCAGAACATATTCCAGTCTGCGCTAGTAAAACAGTCCTGTAGCTTAGCATCTGCGTCATCTGACCACTTCTGTATTGAGCGATTCACTGGTACTTCCTGCTTTAGTTTTTGCTTGTAAGCATGAATCAGGAGGATAGAATTATGGTCAGATTTGCCAAATGGAGGGCGAGGGAGAGATTTGTACGTGTCTCTGTGTGTGGAGTAAAGGTGGTCTAGAGTTTTTTTCCTCTGGTTGCACATGTGACATGCTGGTAGAAATGAGGTAAAACTGATTTAAGTTTCCCTGCATTAAAGTCCCCAGCCACTAGGAGTGCCGCCTCTGGATGAGCATTTTCTTGTTTGCTTATGGCCTTATACAGCTCGTTAAGTGCAGTCTTAGTGCCAGCATCGGTTTGTGGTGGTAAATAGACAGCTACGAAAAATATAGATGAAAACTCTCTGGGTAAATTGTGTGGTCTACAGCTTATCTTGAGGTACTCTACCTCAGGTGAGCAATACCTTGAGACTTCCTTAATATTAGACATCACGCACCAGCTGTTATTGACAAATAGACACACTCGTCTTACGAGACGTAGCTGTTCTGTCCTGCAGATGCACGGAAAACCCAGCCAACTGAAAGAAGAGGTTGACCTTAAGACAACAGGGGAAACATTAGTACTCTTCAGAGCTTCTTCTTTCAGAATACATTACTGTGGTCAGACTAGCCTTGTACACAGCTTCTCGTGACGACGTGGAAAAGTGCATTAGAATATTAAGAAGACTGCTGTGTGGAGAGGAGAAGGAAGGTGGGATGAGTCATCAATACTCCCCTTTCATTGAGCTAAGTACAGGGATAAACAGAGGGTTTAATTACAACCTTTTCATGGTGTTGATGGCAACAGAACGCGCTGGGATAGGGACAGGACATCCAAAAGAGGTCGTTTTTAAGTATCCATTTCAATGTCTGAAAAAAAATCTTTGTCTACTGTATGATATGTATTCTTCAACAGTACAGATGTTTTCCCCAGCATTTAGAGGCCATAGATAGTTTGAAGGCATGTTGACCTCTGTTCTTCCTTTCTATCTCCCAGCAGAATCCTGGCAGATGGGCAGCATCTGGTCTATATCTCACACAGCACAGGCCACTGGTCTTAATCTAGGTGTCATGTGACTCCGTCGCAGTGTCTTGTTGCAACCAAACCTAGGACAGGACATGGTGATCTGTCTGTAGTGTACTGTACAGTCCTACACACAGTTATTTAGGTTATGAGAGGAGACTAGGGATCTCAATACACCCACTGAAAACAGGAAGTAAAGATTAAAGCCAGACACATGGTTGTTACTCCAGCTAGCTTTAGGCTAGTGTTCATGTTTATGTTCACATGGCCTCCTTTTTCCTTTTGTAATTTTCTCTGATTCAACAAGTTCTTTGGCATTTGAATTGTTAGTGTACTGTACACTTGGTTAGTGGTGAATGCTTTCTAGACAAGAACAGCTGGTTAAGAGCACTTGAAGAGTTCTAGGACTTAGTTACCCGTCGAGTGCTTCTAAAATAGCTTCCTCAGAATGAGCTTTTCAGCCTTTTTTTGTAGCTGCCATAAGCACCTGTACCCTCAGGATTGGCCACAGAGAAGCCTGCTGCGTCATGCAGTCATACACAGCAGGGCCTGTTTCAGTCTGTCAGCTAAAGCAGTTTGTCTGTCTTCCTGGTGTGGTGGCCTTGCTTGGACTTACTCCATTGTTGTAAAGAAGGGCACCCCTGGGAGTCATGTCTGGCACTGGTTCACGGACTCTTGAGTCTGTGCCTCTTGTTGCTACGCTGCCTGTCTCACTTGCCTAGGTGTGGAGACTCACTTTTTGGCAAGCCTTAGGGTGAAAGTATTCATGTTTGAGGAGACGTTTGGCCTGGTACCAAGTAGGATGTTGACTTAAAGGGACAGATGATAAACACACACTTCATCCAGAGCAGGTCTGGCCAGTCTAACTGCACCAGGACAATGTCATGTGTGTCTTATGTGTTTTGCACCCCCATAATGACATCAACAAGTGTTATTGTAAATGGCTTTAAGCCATCCTGATTTGTCTCTCTATACCCCCCACCCTGTAGTCGCCAACGTTTCTTAAAAAATGTAATGTGTCTTTGCACAGGAAGTGTTGCACAACCCTAAGGATGTTGCCGTTATGCTTCATGACTGAAGGGGAAACATTTGACTGTGGTCATGTTTTCTTTCTGTTCAGCTTGGTGTCAGATTGTATATTGAAACTCCTCCCAAATGTGGTATCATTCTTTGGCCTGTAGATAATATTATGTAACTGTTTGCCTTTGTCTGAATAGCTTTCAAGTGAGCCCGATGAAAATGTGATGTTGCAGCCCAGTTAGGTCTCCTGACCTTTTCAGAAGTGAAACACATTGTTCCACAATTATTTCGGAGAAAAGCGGTCTCTCATTCACTCACTCACTCATATGATTGGCCCATGTCCACTGATGGTCCAGAACTTCTGGCACCAGTGTCGGCATTAATAAGGCCTGACACACACACCCAACTGCACACCGGGGCAGCTCGCATCTCTCTCTTTCTCTCTCTCTGAGCCAAGGCCTTGTTGGTGTTGAGGCTTATGTGTCTAGCTTTAATATGTGACAGCTTAGGGACACCCGCTTGTTAATTGAAGGTTTAAAAACAAAGCAGTTTGAGGTTCCAGCATGTACTGTGTGCTAAGCGCCACTCCTGTTGCGTCGATGAGATTTGGAAAGCGGGGCTCCATGTCTGAGTGACAGCGGCTTGTATTATCTCCTCCACCTCTTCCTGTGCAGTGGGGATGACAGGAAAACAGCTGGCATTTTAAACCAATCAATCAATCAATCAATCAATCAAATGTATTTTATGATGCCCTTTTTATATCAGCAGTTGTCACAAAGTGCTTATACAGATACCCAGCCTAAAACCCCAAGGAACAAGTAGTGCAGAAGCACAGTGGTTTGGAAAAACTCCCTATAAAGGCAGGAACCTAGGAAGAAACCTAGAGGAACCAGGCTCCGAGGGGTGGCCAGTCCTCTTCTGGCTGTGCCGGGTGGAGATTAGAACAATACATGGCTATTAAGGCCAGATCGTTTGGTCAGCTCATTGGGGGAACATATTTAAATAGTTTTCCCATTTTGGCTGTGCGTATTGTACATCCCATGCTATTTTCCTCTCCTCTCAAGGGCACAGGGGGGATCGGATTAGTTTACTGTCTGTTCAGTCCTGAAAAAGGAATCCTGATATTCATGAACATGTTTCCCTTCCCTGGTTTCCACCAGTCTCCCTCCATCACCCAGATTGGGCATATTATTCCAGGACTCACTGTGTCCTGAAAAGAAAGGTAATGTTTGCATGACTGAAAATAAACCTGTTAGCCTTCCCTTTTTCCTTTTATGTCTGCTTTACATATCACCTTGAGTTTGTCTTGGGTTGGGCTGGTTTAAAAATGACTGAAGATTCATGTCTTCCTCTTTTGTCTCCTTTGCAAGATGGTCTGTGTGTGGAGGTGTTTTTATTGGGGAAATACATTTTTACAGGCCAGCCTGGTTACAGGAAGACATTGTAATACCATGTTAAGTCTCCAGGTCTGTGAGAGCCAATAGATGTGTTTTTATGTAGAACTGTGACCTACAGCGTTTATGTACTAATAGGTTGCTGAATCAGGACGCCACAATTCAGATGTGGCCCAAATTGTCTGTCTCCTTTGGGATGGGCCTTTTATGTCTCACCAGTCCTCCATTTCCTCCTCCTGCTCTGGCTCTCCTCCTCTCTCCTCTACAGTGATGGAAGCCCAGTACTCTGCCTCTGTGTGGCACAGCAACAAACCCTGAAATGAGCTATAGTCTATCAGTTAACACTGATGCTGAATAAATGACTTCTATATTTCAGAGAACGGCTCAGTACTCTTCAAGGTCAATTAGTCTAAGCACTCTGTAGGATGGGTATTTTTCATAATGTTCTGCTTTTAGTATGGGCTTAGACTTGAATATGGCTTTGCACATCCATAACCAGGTCTTGAGACCTGTAACTGTATAGTATCTGTTGTGCTGCTACAATGAGTTGACGTCATGGGCAGAAGTTATGGAGGTCATATTAATTATCTGTCTAGTTTTCCCTGATTGCACAATTTGCAAAGCATTGTTGTACATCTATTATGTTTTTAAATCTGTGTACCTCTAATTCTGTCTGTATGTCTGGTTTCCCCATCCCCAGTTGGAGACAAGGTTCCTGCAGACATCCGTCTTACCTCCATCAAATCTACAACCCTGAGAGTAGACCAGTCCATCCTGACCGGTAAGACACGTGGCTGTTTGCTGCACTGTTTTTCCTATACTGAACCAACTTAGGCTACTCTACAACTCTAGTAAAAATTGACAAACTGCCTTACTCCAAAAGCATAACAAAACTCTCTCTTCCTGTGTAATGGCAATGTATGCTAATTTCAGATGTTCTACATCTAGCTTTAATGATAGTATGAGCTAATCAAAGCCTGCAAGCATACTGTATGACTTTTAATTGTCTGCCACAGGTTTATTTGCTTTCAGTCCACATAGGCAAACTTGAACTGTTTACAGTGCCTTGCAAAAGTATTCCTCCCCCTTGGTGTTTTTTCAATTTTGTTGCGTTACAACCTGTAATTTAAATGGATTTGTATTTGAATTTCATGTAATGGACATACACAAAATAGTCCAAATTGGTGAAGTGGAATGAAACAAATAACTTGTTAAAAAAAAAAATAACAGAAAAGTGGTGCGTGCATATGTATTCACTCCCTTTGCTATGAAGCCCCTAAATAAGATCTGGCGCAACCAATTACCTTCAGAAGTCACATAATTACTTAGATTGCACACAGGTGGACTTTATTTAAGTGTCACATGATCTCAGTATATATACACCTGTTCTGAAAGGCCCCCCAGAGTCTGCAACACCACTAAGCAAGGGGCACCACCAAGCAAGCGGCACCATGAAGACCAAGGACCTCTCCAAACAGGTCAGGGACAAAGTTGTGGAGAAGTACCGATCAGGGTTGGGTTATAAAAAAATATCCGAAACTTTGAACATCCCACGGAGCACCATTAAAATCCATTATAAATAAATGGAAAGAATATGGCACCACAACAAACCTGCCAAGAGAGGGCAGCCCACCAAAACTCACGGACCAGGCAAGGAGGGCATTAATCAGAGAGACCAAAGATAACCCTGAAGGAGCCGCAAAGCTCCACAGCGGAGATTGGAATATCTGTCCATAGGACCACTTTAAGCTGTACACTCCACAGAGCTGGGCTTTACGGAAGAGTGGCCAGAAAAAAGCCATTGCTTGAAGAAAAAAATAAGCAAACACGTTTGGTGTTCACCAAAAGGCATGTGGGAGACTCCCCAAACATATGGAAGAAGGTACTCTGGTCAGATGAGACTAAAATTGAGCTTTTTGGCCATCAAGGAAAACGCTATGTCTGGCGCAAACCAACACCTCTCATCACCCCGAGAACACCATCCCCACAGTGAAGCATGGTGATGGAAGCATCATGCTGTGGGGATGTTTTTCATCGGCAGGGACTGGGAAACTGGTCAGAATTGAAGGAATGATGGATGGCGCTAAATACAGGGAAAGTCTTGAGGGAAACCTGTTTGTCTTCCAGAGATTTGAGACTGGGACGGAGGTTCACCTTTCAGCAGGACAGCAGGCATACTGCTGAAGCAACACTTGAGTGATTTTAAGGGGAAACATTTAAATGTCTTGGAATGGCCTAGCCAAAGCCCAGACCTCAATCCAATTGAGAATCTGTGGTATGACTTAAAGATTGCTGTACACCAGCGGAACCCATCCAACTTGAAGGAGCTGGAGCAGTTTTGCCTTGAAGAATGGGCAAAAATCCCAGTGGCTAGATGTGCCAAACTTATAGAGACATACCCCAAGAGACTTGCAGCTGTAAATGCTGCAAAAGGTGGCTCGACAAAGTATTGACTTTGGGGGGGGCTCAAGTTTTCAGTTTTTTTGTCTTATTTCTTGTTTGTTTCACCCCAAAAAATATTTAGCATCTTCAAAGTGGTAGGCATGTTGTGTAAATTAAATGATACAACCCCCCCCCCCCCCCCCAAATCAATTTTGATTCAAGGTTGTAAGGCAACAAAATAGGAAAAATGCCAAGGGGGGTGAATACTTTAGCAAGCTACTGTATTCCTCCTCCAGAACCAAGTTATTCAAAACTTTATTTGATAGGTGAATCATGTCGCTAACAAAACACCTCCATAGACTGGTGTATTATAATACGCCAGTAATGTAAGAGCCAGTTCAAACCCAACAGCTCAGCCCCACCTCACAACAGCTTTTTACTTTAGCTTATCAAAATAAGACTTGCATTATTAATTTAATATCATGACACGATTTAATTAATTGAGTTCACCTCTGAGTCTAGAGCCAGGGTTTTCACTTGATCCACATTATGATAAGAGGCTTTGCCCTGCATCATGCGCACAAGCACCAAGAGCCATGAATGTTACACATTGATTGTGGAGTGGTAGTCTGATTGTGGAGTGGTAGTCTGATTGTGGAGTGGTAGTCTGATTGTGGAGTGGTAGTCTGATTGTGGAGTGGTAGTCTGATTGTGGAGTGGTAGTCTGATTGTGGAGTGGTAGTCTATGATTGAAGTTGATATAGTTTTTCCCTGAGGCTTTAGACACAGACAAAGGGGTATCCGTGTGATATGTGACCTGCGCTGCTCTCTGCTATGATTCCAGGCGAGTCGGTCTCTGTCATCAAGCACACCGACCCAGTGCCTGACCCTAGAGCTGTCAACCAGGACAAGAAGAACATGCTCTTCTCTGTAAGCAACACTCTTCTCTCTTCACTTCTTACTGCTCCTTGTAGCGGCTGTGTGATGATTGAACTCTCCACCATCAGCTAGTAGTTTGAGCTTGTCCTTCAGTTACTTGTTTACAGTCAAGCTCAATAGAGTTGAAGAACATGCTTGATGCATGAATCCTTTAACTTTCCTTAACATAACTAACAAATTATGGCAGCATCACTCAATATCAAACATGTACTTAAATATACAGACCCTGCTATGTTATTTTGGTTTGTAAAAGTGGTTTAATTTTCTATCTAGTCTGCTCTCCTCATGCATGTGTATGATTGTGTGGCCATAATATTCCACCTGTGTGTTTTCAGGGCACCAACATCTCGTCTGGCAAGGCTATTGGGGTTGTGGTGGCTACGGGTGTGAACACTGAGATTGGTAAGATCCGTGATGAGATGGCAGCCACTGAGCAGGAGAAGACCCCCCTGCAGCAGAAGCTGGATGAGTTTGGGGAGCAGCTGTCCAAGGTCATCTCTCTGATCTGCATCGCTGTGTGGATGATCAACATCGGCCACTTCAATGACCCCGTCCACGGAGGCTCCTGGATCCGCGGCGCCGTCTACTACTTTAAAATTGCCGTGGCCCTGGCAGTGGCCGCCATCCCCGAGGGTCTGCCTGCTGTCATCACCACCTGCCTGGCCCTGGGCACCCGCCGCATGGCCAAGAAGAATGCCATCGTCCGCAGCCTGCCCTCTGTGGAGACCCTGGGCTGCACCTCTGTCATCTGCTCCGACAAGACCGGCACCCTCACCACCAACCAGATGTCTGTCTGCAGGGTGAGTCTGGTTGATTGTTTTGGTTGTTTTACACACTGACTGGACAGAGAGGTCTGCCTCTGAATTGGCTCGGTTGCATTACCTTGCTGTGATAGTGTTTGAGAGTATGTGTATGTGTGCAAAAGGCTCTTTGTAGTGGAGAATCAAGAGAGAGATGTGTTACACAGAGGCGGGGAGGCAGTGACGCGCTGCGGCTTTGATATACATTCAGCCATTGGATGACTGTTCATCCGCGGTGCTCTTGCATAACTGACCTAGCGTCACTGCTCTGCGAAGCATCTAGCCCCTCCCTCCCTCTGAGTGGCACCCCAACACACCTACAGCTCTTTCCCAGTGCAGAGAGACATTTCATGATTAATTGAGCATGTTTATTTTATTTTTGGTGAATATGCACAGGTCTTTGGAACTGCTGATTCCACTCCTTTAAAATTTGACCTGTTGCATTATTTAGTAGGCCTATGTCTATCAAACGTTTCTGGATGAGAGGCTCTTTATTTGGTAGCGGCCATTTATTTACCAGAATAACTTTCTTTTGATCTAGCATTCCATGGGTCTCTATGGTCTGTTTTAATGTATGTCCCTCTGTAGTCACTTCCTTTCGCCTCTGGTGTAGACTGAAATTATTAGGGGAAAGGGGATGTCTAGTCAGTTGCACAACTAAATGCATTCAACCGAAATGTGTCTTCCGATTTTTAACCCATCCCTTCTGAATCAGAGAGGTGTGGGGGGCTGCCTTGGAGGGATACTTCAGGATTTTGACAATGAGGCCCTTTTATCTACTTCCCTAGAGTCTGAACTCGTGGATACCATTTTTATGTCTCCGTGTCCAGTATGAAGTTAGAGGTAGTTGCGCTAACTGGCTGGAAGTTTATGGGTATCTGCTAGCACATGGCTCTCCAACCCTGGTCCTGGAGAACTTCCATCCTGTAGGTTTTCACTCCAACCCTAATCTATCACACCTGATTCTAATAATTAGCTGGTTGATAAACTGAATCAGGTTAGTTACAACTGGGGTTGGAGCGAAAACCTACAGGATGGTAGCGCTCCAGGAACAGGGTTGGAGAGCCCTGTGCTAGCGGATACCCAGAGACTTCCAGCCATTGCGCTAACGTTAGTTAGCATTGGATGACGAAATACTGGATACAGAACATAAAAATGGTATCTATGAGTTCTTCTGACTCATGGGAAGTAGATAAAGGGCCTCATTACCAAAATCCCAAAGTATCCCTGTAATCAACTTCCCCGTCATTGGTGCCCGGGGAGCAGTTGTTATTAGGATGTATGATGCAATTTTAGCCATAATGCACTAGTAAATTAGCAACTACTAGTCATCATATCCTACTGTACTTATCTCATTGTTTCCATTAAGTGATGACATTTTAAGTAACACATGTTGTAGGCTGTGGAGAGTTCTCCACATTGCTTTCACCTATCCCAGTAGTTTGAGAATGGGATCTCTGGTGTAGAGGCTAGGAGCCGAAAGAGAACCATGCCTTCTTCAGGTCACTACCCAGTGTCCACCAACCAACCCCCATCTCCCTTTTCATCTGTCAGTGATGCTTGGAAAATCTTCCACAAAATATAGTTTGTGTTGAATTCACAGCAACTTAAGCATAATGTATTCAGCGAGAGACTGCTCTTAAAAAAAGGATGGAATGCTATTTTCTTCTAATCATCTGACGTCAGCAAGGCTCTCTGAAGTATGGCCTCCAGCTGGAAAAGGACATGAATGATTACCATCACTCTTCCTTCCTCCTATCTATCTGACAGACTGCTGTGGTGTCCCAGCTGACTGGCTGTTGTAACGTGGTGTTAGTATGCACGTGCCGACTGCTAGGCTTGGACCAGTCCAGTTCTTCCTGTGGGAAAAGGCCCAGCCCTCCGGGCTCCAGTGCGCTCTTCTCTTTATGCTGGCTCCCTGACAGATGGCCTCCACTATTTACTTATGGACTAAACCAAACAAGCACTGCTCACTGCTAGACTCCTGCCTTAGCCCCCACACAGCCATAGGGCATCTAAATCCCTCCAGCCCAGAGAGTATGACACACACACAGTATAGGGTGGTCTACAGCAGTGTTTCCTAACTCCAGTCCTCCAGTACCCCCCAACAGCACACGTTGTAGCCCAGGACAAACTCACCTGATTCAACTCATCCAGGGCTTGATGATTAGTTGACAAGTTTGTCTGGGGCTACAACAAAAATGTGTGCTGTTGGGGATTCTGGAGGACTGGAGTTGGGAACAACTGATCTACAGCTCTCAGGCTCTGTGGTGCTGACTTGATGTAGTCCACTGTGCTATTATGTGGTGTTTGCTGCCATCTACAGTGTACATTAAGAAACAACCTCTAATGTAATGTTGTAACCATACATTGGTGTGAGATATGATTAGTTGTGTGTGAGAGACAGCCTTAACTTTCCTTGTCTGTGTTGTCTCCAGATGTTCATCCTTGACAAGGCCGAGGGGAACAGCTGCTCTCTGAATGAGTTCACCATCACCGGCTCTACCTACGCCCCTGAAGGAGAAGTGTAAGTACCAAATACGCTCAACGCTAATCCATTTACGATACAATTATTTATTTACTTCCAATTACATTAATAATTAAACTCCCTCTAACGTTTCATCTTGTCTCCTGGCCTGTCCTGTGTGTCTCCCTCCAGGTACCAGGATGGCAGACTAGTGAAGTCCTCTGCGTATGATGGTCTAGTGGAGATTGCCACCATCTGCGCCCTGTGCAATGACTCCTCTCTGGACTTCAATGAGGTCTTTGCCCCTACCTGCATGCCTATCTCCTCCTTCATATGGATAATTATGGGATGTCGAGTAGAGGTGACTGATTGGTTAATGTTTGTGTCGTCAGGCCAAAGGTGTATATGAGAAGGTTGGCGAGGCCACAGAGACGGCCCTCACCTGCCTGGTGGAGAAGATGAATGCGTTTGACACCGATGTCAAAGGCCTGACCAAGATCGACAGGGCCAATGCCTGCAACTCTGTAAGTACACTAACTTCAACCATTGAACCGTTAAATGGTGTAGTACGCCACAGCTGGTTTTTAGCAGGTTTTCTGAGTGGTGTGTTGTCTATCAGGTGATCATGCAGCTGATGAAGAAGGAATTCACCCTGGAGTTCTCCAGAGACAGGAAGTCAATGTCTGTGTACTGCACCCCCAACAAGGCCCGCTCCTCCCTCGGAAAGATGTTTGTCAAGGTATCACCACCTTTTAGAAACCCTGCTATGTTTGACTCCCATTGAACCAATTGTTAGTGTTTTTAAGTCACCCATGTTTGAATCTGTGTCAACCTTTAAAATTCTTTCATCTCCACAGGGTGCCCCCGAGGGAGTTATTGACAGATGTACTCATGTCAGAGTGGGCACCAGCAAGGTTGCCATGACCCCGGGCATCAAAGAGAGGATCATGTCTACGATCCGTGGGTACGGAACGGGGCGTGACACCCTGCGCTGCCTGGCTCTGGCCACCCGGGACGCCCCACCTAGGAAGGAGGACATGGTGCTGGTCGATTGTGCCCGCTTCGTTGATTATGAGGTGAGCACTACTCTCATTACCACTGCTGCATAGAGTAGGAGTTGACAGGCATTTTGTTAAAAGGCATTTGTTATGTGTAGATATCATACCTAACTTATACTTCTGGATCCTATTAATATCATATGAACAAAAATAGAAACGCAACATGTAAAGTGATGGTCCCATGTTTCTTGAGCTGAAATAGGAGGCCAGACATTTTCCATACGCACAAAAAGCATTTTGTGCACGAATTTGTTTACCTCCCTGTTGGTGAGCATTTCTCCTTTGCCAAGATAATCCATCCACCTGACAGGTGTGGCATATCAAGAAGCTGATTAAACACCATTATCATTACACAGGTGAACCTTGTGCTGGGGACAATAAAAGGCCACTCTAAAATGTGCAGTTTTGTCACACAACACAATGCCACAGATGAAGTGTTGAGGGAGCGTGCAATTGGCATGCTGACTGCAGGAATGTCCACCAGAACTGTTGCCAGAGAATTGAATGTTCATTTCACTACCATAAGCTGCCTCCAACGTTGTTTTTTGAGAATTTGGCAGTAAGTCCAACCAGCCTCACAACCGCAGACCATCTGTAACCACGCCAGCCCAGGACCTCCACATCCGGCTTCTTCACCTGCGGGATCATCTGAAAGCAGCCACGCGGACAGCTGATGAAACTGTGGGTTTGCACAACCGAATAATTTCTGCACAAACTGTCAGAAACCGTCTCAGGGAAGCTCATTTGCGTGCTCGTCGTCCTCAACAGGGTCTTAACCTGACTGCAGTTCGGCGTCGTAACCAACCTCAGTGGCCAAATGCTCACTTTTGATGACCACTGGCACGCTGGAGAAGTGTGCTGTTCAAGGATTAATCACGGTTTCAACTGTACCGGGCAGATAGCAGACAGCATGTATGGCATCGTGTGGGCAAGCGGTTTGCTGATGTCAACGTTGTGAACAGAGTGCCCCATGGTGGCGGTGGGGTTATGGTATGGGCAGGCATAAGCTATGGACAATAACACAATTACATTTTATCAATGGCAATTTGAATGCACAGAGATACCGTGATGAGATCCTAAGGCCCATTGATGTGACATTCATCCGCCGCCATCACCTCATGTTTCAGCATGATAATGCACGGTCCAATGCCACAAGGATCTGTACACAATTCCTGGAAGTTGGAAATGTCCCAGTTCTTCCATGGCCTGCATACTCACCATTTGAGCATGTTTGGAACTCTGGATCGACGTGTTCGACAGCGTATACCAGTTCTCGCCAATATCCAGCAACTTCGCACATCCATTGAAGAGGAGTGGGACAACATTCCATAGGCTACAATCAACAGCCTGATCAACTCTATTGGAAGGTGATGTTGCGCTGCATGAGGCAAATGGTGGTCACACAAGATACTGACTGGTTTTCTGATCTACGCCCTTACCTTTTTCTGGTATCTGTGACAACAGATGTATATCTGTATTCCCAGTCATGTGAAATCCATAGATTGGGGCCTAATGAATTTATTTCAATTGACTGATTTCCTTATAAATGTAACTCAGTAAATCTTTGAAATTGTTGCATGTTTCGTTTTATATTTTTGTTCAGTGTAGTATAACTTTTGGATGTTGTCCAGTATTGTGCAATTCTAGTAGGAACCCTGATGGTGACACTGTTTCTCTGCTCAGTCTGACCTGACCTTCGTTGGCTGCGTTGGCATGCTGGACCCTCCCAGGACCGAGGTGGCTGCCTCCATCAAGCTGTGCCGCCTAGCCGGCATCCGCGTCATCATGATCACCGGCGACAACAAGGGCACTGCCGTGGCCATCTGCCGCCGTATCGGCATCCTGGGTGAAGAAGACGACGTGGACAAAATGGCGTTCACTGGCCGCGAGTTTGACGACCTGTCCCCCCAGGCCCAACGCGATGCCGTTACCAACGCCCGCTGCTTCGCCCGTGTCGAGCCCTCCCACAAGTCCAAGATCGTTGAGTTCCTGCAGGCCATGGACGAGATCACAGCCATGGTACCCCCCCCCCTCCTCCCCCCCCTCACATCCTTATCCTTACTGTACATGCAAAGCTGTTATATGTATTACTGTTGTCATTTAGCCTCCTATCCACCCTTAAGTATCTGTGCCACTGTTTTCTCCCACAGACTGGTGATGGAGTGAATGATGCCCCTGCCTTGAAGAAGGCAGAGATTGGCATCGCCATGGGCTCTGGCACTGCCGTTGCCAAGTCAGCCTCTGAGATGGTCCTGGCCGATGACAACTTCTCTTCCATCGTGGCGGCTGTGGAGGAGGGCAGAGCCATCTACAACAACATGAAGCAGTTCATCCGCTACCTCATCTCCTCCAATGTGGGAGAGGTCGTCTGGTGAGTCAGCCATTTGTCATATACGTACAGTGGGGAAAAAAAGTATTTAGTCAGCCACCAATTGTGCAAGTTCTCCCACTTAAAAAGATGAGAGAGGCCTGTAATTTTCATCATAGGTACACGTCAACTATGACAGACAAATTGAGGGAAAAAAATCCAGAAAATCACATTGTAGGATTTTTAATGAATTTATTTGCAAATTATGGTGGAAAATAAGTATTTTGTCACCTACAAACAAGCAAGATTTCTGGCTCTCACAGACCTGTAACTTCTTCTTTAAAAGGCTCCTCTGTCCTCCACTCGTTACCTGTATTAATGGCACCTGTTTGAACTTGTTATCAGTATAAAAGACACCTGTCCACAACCTCAAACAGTCACACTCCAAACTCCACTATGGCCAAGACCAAAGAGCTGTCAAAGGACACCAGAAACAAAATTGTAGACCTGCACCAGGCTGGGAAGACTGAATCTGCAATAGGTAAGCAGCTTGGTTTTAAGAAATCAACTGTGGGAGCAATTATTAGGAAATGGAAGACATACAAGACCACTGATAATCTCCCTCGATCTGGGGCTCCACCCAAGATCTCACCCCGTGGGGTCAAAATGATCACAAGAACGGTGAGCAAAAATCCCAGAACCACACGGGGGGACCTAGTGAATGACCTGCAGAGAGCTGGGACCAAAGTAACAAAGCCTACCATCAGTAACACACTACGCCGCCAGGGACTCAAATCCTGCAGTGCCAGACGTGTCCCCCTGCTTAAGCCAGTACATGTCCAGGCCCGTCTGAAGTTTGCTAGAGTGCATTTGGATGATCCAGAAGAGGATTGGGAGAATGTCATATGGTCAGATGAAACCAAAATATAACTTTTTGGTAAAAACTCAACTCGTCGTGTTTGGAGGACAAAGAATGCTGAGTTGCATCCAAAGAACACCATACCTACTGTGAAGCATGGGGGTGGAAACATCATGCTTTGGGGCTGTTTTTCTGCAAAGGGACCAGGACGACTGATCCGTGTAAAGGAAAGAATGAATGGGGCCATGTATCGTGAGATTTTGAGTGAAAACCTCCTTCCATCAGCAAGGGCATTGAAGATGAAACGTGGCTGGGTCTTTCAGCATGACAATGATCCCAAACACACCGCCCGGGCAACGAAGGAGTGGCTTCGTAAGAAGCATTTCAAGGTCCTGGAGTGGCCTAGCCAGTCTCCAGATCTCAACCCCATAGAAAATCTTTGGAGGGAGTTGAAAGTCCGTGTTGCCCAGCGACAGCCCCAAAACATCACTGATCTAGAGGAGATCTGCATGGAGGAATGGGCCAAAATACCAGCAACAGTGTGTGAAAACCTTGTGAAGACTTACAGAAAACGTTTGACCTGTGTCATTGCCAAACAAAGGGTATATAACAAAGTATTGAGAAACTTTTGTTATTGACCAAATACTTATTTTCCACCATAATTTGCAAATAAATTTATTAAAAATCCTACAATGTGATTTTCTGGATTTTTTTTCCTCATTTTGTCTGTCATAGTTGACGTGATGAAAATTACAGGCCTCTCATCTTTTTAAGTGGGAGAACTTGCACAATTGGTGGCTGACTAAATACTTTTTTTCCCCACTGTACCTCCTCCTGCCAACGTGATGTCTCTGTAGTGGTGTTATGGTGCTCCTGTGGAGGTTAATGATGTTTCTCTATGGGGGCAGCATCTTCCTGACGGCTGCTCTGGGCTTCCCTGAGGCTCTGATCCCAGTTCAGCTGTTGTGGGTCAACCTGGTGACAGACGGTCTCCCTGCCACCGCACTGGGCTTCAACCCCCCTGACCTGGACATCATGAACAAGCCCCCCCGCAGTGCCAAGGAGCCCCTCATCTCTGGATGGCTCTTCTTCAGATACCTGGCCATCGGATGTGAGTTAATGGGACTGTTGTGCTTTGTTTCCAACTATATATCAGATGACTCAATCTTAATTTTCCTCTTTCAGTTTACATTTTCTCAAGCTCACTGCTACTGGCATACCCTGGCATATACTGTTATTGTGCACCTCTCTGCATGTCCACTGTCTTCCTAGTTATAGAACTAGTCTGTCCTACAGTCAGTCAACTGTGTCTCTGTCTCAGGCTATGTGGGAGCTGCCACAGTAGGAGCTGCTACCTGGTGGTTTGTGGCTGCTGAGGATGGCCCTATGATCTCTCTGTACCAGCTGGTGAGACTAGCGCCTAGATGTCAGCTTTACTGTCCATATGGTGTTGTACCTCCCAGCCTTTCTTATGTCTCTCATGTCTGACTCCTCCCCCCACAGAGCCACTTCCTGCAGTGTTCCCCTGACAACCCTGACTTTGCTGACCTAGAGTGTAATGTGTTTGAGTCCCCCTACCCCATGACAATGGCCCTGTCTGTGCTTGTCACCATTGAGATGTGCAATGCCCTTAACAGGTGGGTCCCCTGCAGTGAGATGAGCTTTCTTTCATCCTCAAAAATAATTTGCATTTAGTAGATGACAACTACAACTTTCAATGTACAAGAATAGAATATAGAGTTTTGACTAAGATATGATCCACCATCCACAATCTGACCTTCTCCCAGCCTGTCAGAGAACCAGTCCCTGCTGCGTATGCCCCCCTGGGAGAACATCTGGCTGCTGGGGGCCATCTGCCTCTCCATGTCCCTCCACTTCCTCATCCTCTATGTGGAGCCACTGCCCGTAAGTCAGCTTTACTCATATCAACCTCTCAACCCAGGTCAATCTGTAAGTTCTCCATTTTCACTCTCTCGCCATCCCCTCCTCCTCCCTCCTCCTCTACCTCTCCAGGTCATCTTCCAGATCACCCCTCTGGACCTGACCCAGTGGCTGGTGGTGCTGAAGATCTCCCTGCCTGTCATCCTGCTGGATGAGCTGCTAAAGTTTGTGGCCAGGAACTACCTGGAACCCGGTAACCAGCCAGAGTCTAAGTCAGCCAGCAAAGGCTGGTCCCTCTCTGCATGCACAGAGGGCATCTCCTGGCCCTTTGTGGGCATCACCCTCCCCCTGATGCTGTGGCTCTACAGCATCGACACTAATGTGTCTGCCCTGTTTTGGTCCTGACTACAGCACACAACCCTCCCAGTGCACCAGTGTGAGTGGAGATTAACACACGTCTAACGAAATCCCCCATTAACCAGGATCAACTACAACAACCACATCAACTGCAGTGAGAGCTTAAGTCAACATTTGTACCTGTGTTGACGACAGATGTAATCTGTGAGCCCTCTGCTGGTTTGTCTCCAGGACATTTTCACCATTCCGCTTTTTTATTCTTCTTTTAAGATATTCATATTTTTAATGGCGTTAGTTTTGTCATTTGTCAATGTGTCTTCATTTAATATCAAGCGTTTGGTTCTTTTTTTGCTCCCCCTTTTTGAACAGGCATTTAAAAAAATCTGCTATTTAGGAGCTGTCTGACGTGTACAGAGAATTAACACTATTTTATCCAAATTAAGATTTTTGTAGCTTTGGGAAGGTGTGTGAAGGGCAGCCAGGTGGTATAAGGGGCGTGCACAGAACTCAAATGTTTCTCTTGTTTTCAGTGTGAACTTTGACCTCTAAAGAACTTCATTTGCACTGAATCAGAAGTCTGTAACAAAACGTGCATGTATTCTGCCCAGGCATGAATAACGGGGATTTCTTCACCAAATTAATTATTGTTCCTTCCCCTGTTTGAGCTCCTCCATTTGACTTGTTTGTGTTTATTTTCTGCTCTAGGCAGAGCACAGCTACCTCAATGCTATTGATATCACAATTGATTACTACCTGTGTTCCTCAGTAAGCTTTTCATAAACATTGTCATATTGAGTGTTGAGGTATGCACCATTTCGCTTGTGCATAAGGAAATATAAAGCCCTCATTTGCCTTTCATGTTATTTTAAGATCTTTTTAAAAGTTTAATCTGTGTTCTTTTTATGTTCCTTGAGGGAGGTTAGGGTTAGGACAAATATGTAAATGTTACCTTAGTTCAATTGAAAGTAGTTTTTTGGATATAGACAAGCCTGTCGTTAAACACGTTTACTTGAACACAACATATTCTGTCTATTCTCATAAAGGTTCACCTTTTTAGGTTTAGTCTTAATTTACGGACACTGTAGTGTCTTTATTACATAACTATATTGATTATGTATTGAGCACATACTGTACTTGAATATGTATAAACACACCAAGTGGCAGATTTTCTTATCAGTTGAGCACAAGATGGATGCTTTGACGGGACCGTTATGTGGTCAGGATTCCCTATTGGGGTGTATCACCAAGCGGAGACTGCTTTGGCCATAGTATATAGGCCCAACGCTAAAATGACTGGCTGGTAGAAGAGTCTGTACATATAACACAAAATAGTATCTATGTGTATAGAGTTTATATTAAAGATGCTCCATATCTTTACACTAGTTTACTTGAGCGTGTTTTAGAAACACTGTAGGTAATAGGTATTCCTGGAAAGCATGCCCTCCAATACCATGCCAGTAAACGCTTGAGTGTTCTTAAACCTAACTGCTATTTCTTCCAATGCCTTCCGCCTGTTTACCCAACAGTGAGTAGCCTCTGCCTGCATGCTCATGCCTTGCTGTCAGTGTTATTGCTCGAACTCTGGGTACTTGAAAGGTTTTGTTGCTTTAATATGACAGCAATAACTCTTCTCCTTGTTGGAAGAATACATATTGGGTAGAGTCTGTGATCTTAGTCTTTGATGGGCTTTATAAATGGTACCATTCCATGAGTGATTGATTGTTCTTTTACCTGTTATGTACAGTGCCTTGCAAAAGTATTCATCCCCCTTGGCATTTTTCCTATTTTGTTGCATTACAACCTGTAATTTAAATTGATTTTTATTTGGATTTCATGTAATGGACATCCACAAAATAGTCCAAATTGGTGAAGGGAAATGAAAAAAATAACTTGTTTCAAACAATTCTAAAAAATAACGGCAAGTGGTGCGTGCATATGTATTCACCCCCTTTGCTATGAAGCCCCTAAATAAGATCTGGTGCAACCAATTCCCTTCAGAAGTCACATAATTAGTTAAATAAAGTCCATCTGTGTGCGCAATCTAAGTGTCACATGATCTCAGTATATATACACCTGTTCTGAAAGGCCCCCAGAGACTGCAACACCTCTAAGCAAGGGGCACCATGAAGACCAAGGAGCTCTCTGAACAGGTCAGGGACAAAGTTGTGGAGAAGCTTATAGAGACTTGCAGCTGTAATTTGGGGGGGGGTGAATAGTTATGCACACTCAAGTTTTCTGTTTTCTTGTCTTATTTCTTGTTTGTTTCACAATAAAAAAAAATATTTTGCATCTTCAAAGTGGTAGGCATGTTGTGTAAATCCCCCCCCAAAATCAATTTTAATTCCAGGTTGTAAGGCAACAAAATAAGAAAAATGCCAAGGGGGTGAGCCACTGTATCAGCCAACAGAGGCCATCGGCAGGATTTTGTAACATGGTGGAAAATGACAGGCGACAAAATGCCACTAAGTTCCAGCCAAAGCACACACACAGTATAGGATGTGGGGCTTTTGGAATTGCAATAGAAGCCCCTGTGTCTGTCTCAGTTCTACCTGTATCAAGTCTGTTTTTTAGGGATTGAGGTGTGAAGGGTCATTACTGGTAGCAAGTGTTTGGCTCTGACATACTGCTCACTCTCGCAGGCTATTGTGTTTCACTTAAATATGTCCAGTGGTGGAAAAAGTACCCAATTGTCATACTTGAGGAAAGATACCTTAATAGAAAATGACTCGTGCAAGTCACCCAGTAAAATACTACTTGAGTAAAAGTATTTGGTTTTAAATATACTTAAGTATCAAAAGTAAAAGTAAGAAATCATTTAAAATTCCTTATATTAAGCAAACCAGACGCCACAATTATTTCTTTTTATTTATGGATAGCCAGGGTCACACTCCAACACTGACAATTTACAAACAAAGCATTTGTGTTTAGTGAGTCCACCAGATCAAAGGCAGTAGGGATGACCAGGGATGTTCTCTTTAAGTGTGTGAATTGGACCATTTTCTGTCCTGCTAAGCAGCATATTTGGGTGTCAGGGAAAAAATATGGAGTAAAAACTACATCATTTTCATTAGGAATGTAGTGAAGTAAAAGTTGTCAAAAATATAAATAGGAAAGTACAGATAGCCCAAAAAACTACTTTAGTACTTCAAAGTATTTTTACTGAAGTACTTTACACCACTGAATATGTCTTACTGCATTTATTCCCATCTTTCTGTTTGCACGTGGCATGGCCCTAGACATGACTGCAAGTAGAAAATGAAGCAGTGATGGCCTAATGGCTTTCTATTCACCATGCCTTTTTAAATTCCCAGTGAGAGAGCCATGTCTCTGTTTTCATCTTTGCTTTTTTAACCTATGCCTTCTGTCTGTCCTATGATTGATTGGTTTCTCCCTGTCTTTCTCTCTCCTCTCTCTGCAGCTAGTGCCGTGTAAGCCCGCTCCTCCTATAAATCCCTTGTAGGAACTGCAAGGTTTTGTTTTGGTGTTGTGCATGTGTTTTGATCAGCACCACATCTTCCAAGACCTGCATGTCAATAAAGAAGAGCTATCAAGACATGATTGATACATTTTCATAAGCAATTAAATTACAAAAAAGTAATAATCAAATGTTATATGTTTTACCTGAATGGGTATAAATGTTTTTGGAATCAAATTAACCAATCCCTGGTCCATCCATCCTTACTACATGAAGAGCCATAGGCAGCATTTACACATGGCAGCCAAATTCTGGTCTTTTGCCCAATTATTGGTAGTGGAAAAAGATCAGAATTGGGTTGCCTGTGTAAATGCAGCCTTCAAACTGGACAAGACAGAGTTCTTATGCCATCTTAATAAACCTATGTTATAGTTTTCTATTAATGTACACTATTCCATGATGCATGTCCTCTGAAGCAGCCAATTATTTTAGTAGATGTGTAATCGTTAATGTATTGATAAATGAAATGGACATTACCCACAATAGTACAAATGTTAAACTCAAACGCCTATCTTTTCCTAAGGAAATATTTTTTGGGATGGGATATGTAAAATAACCAAAGACGCTGTAATGTGCAACATGTTTGAAGCAGATTTTGCAGTATCTGGGGAGGCGGAGGTGTGGCAATAGCTGCAGATCCATTACCCTGAAAGAAAGTCAGTCCCTTCAATGGCACGCATGTTTGCCAAACTGTAATGTAATTTCAGAGCTGACGATTGTATTGACTTGGGGTTCAGGTAAATAAAGCAATTGTACATTAATATGTTGCTGATCTTCTATATGCCATATTGGAGATGTGGTGTCATTTGAAGCTACCTTCCTTGTAGCCTAAATACAAGGATGTTTTAGATGAGTGTTTCCCAACTCCAGTCCTTGAGTACCCCCAACAGCATACATTTTGGTTTTAGCCCCAGACAAGCACACCTGATTCAACTAATCATCAAGCCCTCAATTAGTTGAATCAGGTGAGTTTGTCTGTTGGGGGTACTCAAAGGACGAGTTGGGAAACACCGGTTTAGAACTGTTCCTCAAGAATAGGTCACTAATACTAATTTACCACAAACTTTAAAAGAATGTAAGGGCATGAGAGACCAGACATGTCATGGTTTTATATCTTCAAAACATATATACACAGTGGACAACACATGGCTATAAACATTTGCATTGGAAAACTTTCACATTACTTTGCAAAGAATGTGTAAAATGAAATGACCCCATGATTGACACAAACACCATTGAGAGAAAGGCCTTAAGTTATCTGATTATTCAGAAGGGAAAGTATGTCACCAGTTTCACACCAATATGTGTTAATACATGCAAATGTTACAAGGGTAAAGGAAAACTTAACAGAAAAGCAACAGAAATATAATAATTTCAATGGTTACTGGCTTCAGATATCTCGTTAACCCAACAAACAAGCAAACTAATGGCAAACTCCTAGGCCATGGCCCAACAATCCTAATGCCAGGTTTTTATAAATATTTTGGGCTGGGTTGTAAGATGCATCCTCCCCAAACCTCAGTGGCTGCTATGATGACTTCTCTATAACCCTGGGATGGGGCTTTATACACCCATATAGAGTGGGCCACCAGATCACTACATCAGGTAGCCCATGATGCCCATGTGTGGCATATGCCCCCAGCCCCCCTCTGTGCCCCTGGCATCTCTGCAGTGCCCCTGGCGTCTCTGCAGTGGGCCTGGGTCACTGCATGCCAAACCACTGCTCCTAGTCTGCCCACTGGGCTGCCTCACTGTCACTGCCTTCCAGGTCTCCATCCTCCCCGCTGCCCTCCATGTCATCCCCATCCAGCTCCACAGTGGCATCAGCAGGGCTCTCCTCCTTCTCCATCTTCTGCATTCCTTCCAGAGACTTCTGTTTATTCGGGTCCAGGCTGAGAGACAGACAGTGTCAGATTTGGATGATAGAGAAACATGTGCAGGCTCAACATCGAAGTGCAACATTTACATATTTCAGAAAAGGTAGACCTAAGGACAACACTGCATTAACATTTCATGAGTTGTGTAAAACCCTGGACTTTGGTGTAACATTACCCAAGTGCTATGCAGTATTGGTCCATAGCCTCTTGATAATCATAGACTGCCAACAGGAATTCCCCCAGCATCATGAGCAGCACACAGTCGCTCTGATTGGCTAAGGCATTCCGGAGAAGAGCAATCCCTTCCTCGTATTTCTGTTCCCGTCCTTAAATGGGAAAACAAACAAAATATCAAATCTTGTCCCTAACATCTTTGGTAATTTTTTTTACAAAAGATACAATGGTTCTAAATCTCTACAGCACAACAACTAATAGAACTTCAGGGTCAGGTACCAAACCACATACTTAGTAGCTCTGCCTTCTTGACCACAGCCTTGGTGTAGTCAGGCCTCTGGGCTAGCGCCTTGTCCAGCAGGGTTTTGGCCTTCTCCTGGGTCACAGGGTCCTCCAGGCAGACTGTAGCCAGGATAGTTAGAGTCTGGGCATTCTCTCCGAGGGTCTTACAGATGTTATTCGCCATCCCCATTGCCTCTCGGATCCCATTGGATGCCAGGTAACAGTCAATCAGACCTGGGGACAGACAAGGCTCATTACTACCTCAATACTAGTAACAACAAAACACTTAGCAAACTTGCATCTGATGTTGCAGCTTCATGTGGGGGCAGTTCAAGATTAAAACATGTTCATTACAATGATGGTATCATAACAAGTATGTCCCCTTGCCTTCATAGCAGTCCAGACGGCAGGGCGCCAGGCGCATCGCCTCTCTGAAGTGGATGATGGCCTCTTGCACTCGGCCCATGTTCCTCAGTGCTGCTCCCTTCAGGAGGAGGGCCTGCACACTGTTGCTCTTCAGCTGGATGGCCTTGGCACCCAGGTAGAGGGCCCGGGAGTAGCGCTTACTGTAGAAGCTGTGACATCTGAGCCAACAAAAAACAGATTGATAGGAACATGTATTTAGTGTACAAAGAACAGGCCTTTTATTTTATACGGTTATAACACAAAATACAAACATATTATAGATCCATTTTTAAAAACTGCATTCAATATGTTTTCATCGACTTCAATCTTCTCACATTTATTTCTGGTCACTTAGAAGATGACTTGCCCAGTAGTGATGGGGGGGGAATCGATACAGTTACATATCGGGATATTATTTGTGATGATATATCGTATCGACAATATTGCAATATTATTTTTGCGCTAATTGGCTGTACCTGCACCAAAACTCTAGTATTTTTCTTTCATAGCTTGTTCTCCAGCTTCTTTTTAAATAGGGAGCCAATTTGTTTTCAGCACTTTTATTTCCATGACTGATAAACCTATTTTCTCATGTCTCTGTCATCCCTCTGCAACAGACATGAATTTGGAAAGTATTCAGACTCCTTCACTTTTTCCAAATTTTGTTACGTTACAGACTACACACAATACCCCATAATGACAAAGCAAAAACAGGTTTTGAATTTTTTACAAATGCATAAAAAAATCAAACGGAAACATCACATTTACATAAGTATTCAGACCCTTTACTCAGTACTTTGTTGAAGCACCTTTGGCAGAGATTACAGCCTCAAGTCTTCTTGGGTACGACGCTACAAGTTTCGCACACCTGTATTAGGAGAGTTTCTCCCATTATTTTCTGCAGATCCTCTCAAGTTCTGTCAGGTTGGATGGGGAGCGTTGCTGCACAGCCATTTTCAGGTCTCTCCAAAGATGTGCGAACGGGTTCAAGTCCGGGCTCTGGCTGGGCCACTCAAGGACATTCAGAGACTTGTCCCGAAGCCACTCCTGCGTTGTCTTGGCTGTGTGCTTAGGGTTGTTGTCCTGTTGGAAGGTGAACCTTCGCCCCAGCCTGAGGTCCTGAGCGCTCTGGAGTAGGTTTACATCAAGGATCTCTCTGTACTTTGCTCGGTTAATCTTTCCCTCAATCCTGACTAGTCTCCCAGTCCCTGCTGCTGAAAAACATCCCCACAGCATGATGCTGCCACCACCATGCTTCACCGTAGGGATGGTGCCAGGTTTTTTTTATCCAGACGTGATGCTTGGCATTCAGGCCAAAGAGTTCAATCTTGGTTTCATCAGACCAGAGAATCTTGTTTCTCATGGTCTGAGAGTCTTTAGGTGCCTTTTGGCAAACTCCAAGCGGGCTGTTATGTGCCTTTTACTGAGGAGTGGCTTCCATCTGGCCACTCTACCATAAAGGCCTAATTGGTTATTTATTTATTTATTTAACCTTTATTTAACCAGGTAAACCAGTTGAGAACAAGTTCTCATTTACAACTGCGACCTGGCCAAGATAAAGCAAAGCAGTGCGATAAAAACAACACAGAGTTACATATGGGGTAAAACAAAACAAAGTCAAAAATACAACAGAAAATATATATACAGTGTGTGCAAATGTAGCAAGTTATGGAGGTAAGGCAATAAATAGGCCATAGTGCAAAATAATTACAATTAGTATTAACACTGGAATGATAGATGTGCAAGAGATGATGTGCAAATAGAGATACTGGGGTGCAAATGAGCAAAATAAATAACAATATAGGGATGAGGTAGTTGGGTGGGCTAATTTCAGATGGGCTGTGTACAGGTGCAGTGATCGGTAAGGTGCTCTGACAACTGATGCTTAAAGTTATTGAGGGAGATAAGAGTCTCCAGCTTCAGAGATTTTTGAAATTCGTTCCAGTCATTGGCAGCAGAGAACTGGAAGGAATGGCGGCCAAAGGAGGTGTTGGCTTTGGGGATGACCAGTGAGATATACCTGCTGGAGCGCATACTACGGGTGGGTGTTGCTATGGTGACCAATGAGCTAAGATAAGGCGGGGATTTGCCTAGCAGTGATTTATAGATGGCCTGGAGCCAGTGGGTTTGGCGACGAATATGTAGTGAGGACCAGCCAACAAGAGCGTACAGGTCACAGTGGTGGGTAGTATATGGGGCTTTGGTGACAAAACGGATGGCACTGTGATAGACTACATCCAATTTGCTGAGTAGAGTGTTGGAGGCTATTGTAAATGACATCGCCAAAGTCAAGGATCGGTAGGATAGTCAGTTTTACGAGGGCATGTTTGGCAGCATGAGTGAAGGAGGCTTTGTTGCGAAATAGGAAGCCGATTCTAGATTTAACTTTGGATTGGAGATTCTTTATGTGAGTCTGGAAGGAGAGTTTACAGTCTAACCAGACACCTAGGTATTTGTAGTTGTCCACATACCCATTTTTTCAGACCCGTCGAGAGTAGTAATTCTAGTCGGGTGGGCGGGTGCCAGCAGCGTTCGGTTGAAGAGCACACATTTAGTTTTACTAGTGTTTAAGAGCAGTTGGAGGCTACTGAAGGAGTGTTGTATGGCATTGAAGCTCGTTTGGAGGTTTGTTAACAGTGTCCAATTTACATTTTAGTCATTTAGCAGACGCTCTTATCCAGAGCGACTTACAGGAGCAATTAGGGTTAAGTGCCTTGCTCAAGGGCACATTTACGTCATTTAGCAGACGCTCTTATCCAGAGCGACTACAAATTGGTGCATTCACCCTATAGCCAGTGGGATAACCACTTTACAATTATACTTTTTTTTTTTTTTGGGGGGGGGTGGAAGGATTACTTTATCCTATCCCAGGTGTTCCTTAAAGAGGTGGGGTTTCAAACGTCTCCGGAAGGTGGTGAGTGACTCCGCTGTCCTGGCGTCGTGAGGGAGCTTGTTCCACCATTGGGGTGCCAGAGCAGCGAACAGCTTTGACTGGGCTGAGCGGGAACTATGCTTCCACAGAGGAAGGGGAGCCAGCAGGCCAGAGGTGGATGAACGCAATGCCCTCGCCTGGGTGTAGGGACTGATCAGAGCCTGAAGGTACGGAGGTGCCGTTCCCCTCACTGCTCCATAGGCAAGCACCATGGTCTTGTAACGGATGCGAGCTTCAACTGGAAGCCAGTGGAGTGTGCGGAGGAGGGGGGTGACGTGAGAGAACTTGGGAAGGTTGAACACCAGACGGGCTGCGGCAATGAAGGGCCAGATGTATACAAAATGGTGCCGTCTGCGTAGAGGTGGATGTGAGTCACCAGCAGCAAGAGCGACATCATTGATATACACGGAGAAAAGAGTCGGCCCAAGAATTGAACCCTGTGGCACCCCCATAGAGACTGCCATAGGTCCAGACAACACGCCCTCCGATTTGACACATTGAACTATATCTGAGAAGTAGTTGGTGAACCAGGCGAGGCAGTCATTTGAGAAACCAAGGCTATTTAGTCTGCCAATAAGAATGCGGTGACTGACAGAGTCGAAAGCCTTGGCCAGGTCGATGAAGACGGCTGCACACTACTGTCTTATCGATCGCGGTTATAATATCGTTTAGGACCTTGAGCGTGGCTGAGGTGCACCCATGACCAGCTCGGAAACCGGATTGCATAGCGGAGAAGGTACGGTGGGATTCGAAATGGTCGGTGATCTGTTTGTTAACTTGGCTTTCAAAAACGTTCGAAAGGCAGGGCAGGATGGATATAGGTCTGTAACAGTTTGGATCTAGAGTGTCACCCCCTTTGAAGAGGGGGATGACCGCAGCAGCTTTCCAATCTCTGGGAATCTCGGACGTTACGAAAGAGAGGTTGAACAGGCTAGTAAGGGTTGCGACAATTTCGGCAGCTAGTTTTAGAAAGGGTCCAGATTGTCTAGCCCAGATGATTTGTAGGGGTCCAGATTTTTCAGCTCTTTCAGAACATCAGCTGTCTGAATTTGTGTGAAGGAGAAGCGGGGGGGGCATGGGCACGTTGCTGCGGAGGGTGCAGAGCTGGTGGCCGGGGTAGTGGTATCCAGGTGGAAAGCATGGCCAGCCGTAGCAAAATGCTTGTTGAAATTCTCGATTATTGTAGATTTATCGGTGGTGATAGTGTTTCCTAGCCTCAGTGCAGTGGGCAGCTGGGAGGAGGTGCTCTTATTCTCCATGGACTTTACAGTGTCCCAAAACTTTTTGGAGTTAGTGCTACAGGATGCAAATTTCTGTTTGAAAAAGTTAGCCTTTGCTTTCCTAACTGCTTGTGTATATTGGTTCCTAACTTCCCTGAAAAGTTGCATATCGCGGGGGCTATTTGATGCTAATGCAGTACGCCACAGGATGTTTTTGTGCTGGTCAAGGGTAGTCAAGTCTGAGGAGAACCAAGGGCTATATCTATTGGTGGAGTGCTGCAGAGATAGTTGTCCTTCTGGAAGGTTCTCCCATCTCCACAGAGGAACTCTGGAGCTCTGTCAGAGTGACCATTGGGTTCTTGGTCACCTCTCTGACCAAGGCCCTTCTCCCCCGATTGCTCAGTTTGGCCGGGCGGCCAGCTCTAGGAAGAGTCTTGAAGGTTCTAAACTTCTTCCATTTAAGAATGATGGAGGCCACTGTGTTCTTAGGGACCTTCAATGCTGCAGAAATGTTTTGGTACCCTTCCCCAGATCTGTGCCTCGGCACAATCCTGTCTCTGAGCTCTACGAACAATTCCTTCGACCTCATGGCTTGATTTTTGCTCTGACATGCACTGTCAACTGTGGGACCTTATATAGACAGGTGTGTGCCTTTCCAAATCATGTCCAATCAATTGAATTTACCACAGGTTGACTCCAATCAAGTTGTAGAAACATCTCAAGGATGATCAATGGAAACAGGATGCACCGGAGCTCAATTTTGAGTCTCATAGCAAACGGTCTGAATACTTATGTAAATAAGGTATCGGTTTTTAATTTTTTATAAATCTGCAACAATCTCAAAAACCTATTTTCGCTTTGTCATTATGGGGTATTGTGAATAGACTGATGAGGACATGTTTTTATTTAATCCATTTTAGAATAAGTCTAACGTAACAAAATGTGGAAAAAGTCAAGGTCTGAATACTTTCCGAATGCACTGTATAGTGAGCAATATGTTTGGAACATAGAATCGCAATACATATAGAATCATGAGAATTGCAATACATATCGTATCAGCACCTAAGTATCGTGATTATCTTGGCAATTCCCAGCCCTATTACCCATATATGACCCAGGGCTCTGCATGCTGGTCTGAGATGTTGAACAACCTTCCTCCCAGGACCTCAACATCCTCCAGGTGCCCCTCATGTGCCATAAGGTAGCCATATACATCCATGCCTGACAGCAAGTAAAGACAACATAACAATTAGTCTAACCATACATAAAAACCTAATAGTTAATGTCTCGCTAGCCTGGCTTAGTGAGTCCTAGGAAACAGATTTATTTAGTCAGTCAGATGGGTTTTGTGATGTCTGCTGTCCAGTACCTTTGATCAGATAAGGGTCCAGCATCTGGGCCTGCTTAAACTTCAGGATGGAGTTCTTTGTGTCGCCTGCCCTGAAGTAGACATCTGCCAGGCTCACCAGCAGGTCCACATTGTCCCGCAGTAAAGACTTCTTCTCCAGGGAGCTGAGAAATAGAATCAGAAAACAGAAACAACACCCAGAATGAGAGCCATAGCTTAACAATACCTGAGATTATGATTAATTAAATAAATAACGCTCCCATGGTGGTATGAGGAACTGGTCTGCTCACCGGATGGTGTCAATTGCTCTGTGGTTGTCCCCTACATGTATGAAGGCATAGGCTTTGATCCACACAGAGAGCCACTCCAGGTTGGGAAGACTCTGGATCACATCCATAGTCATGGACGCCACTTCAGCTCCCTTCACTGACAGAGACAGGAGACCTACAACAGACACGAGTTAAAAGAACCCTTTCAAATTAAGAGCACAATAACATGGGGTATTGGCATGTCTGTGTGACGCACTACAGAAACATCCCAGTAACAAGTCCATACCAATGATGGCATCCAGTGCCAAGGGACACTGTTTCAGGACCTCTTTGTAGCTTGTGACAGCAGAGCGTTCCTGTCCAGCCTTCCTGTACAGATTAGCCAGCATCATGTTGATCTGAGGAAGGATACACAAATATGAAATTCGGAAATTCCTCACAAGAATCTGGGCTGCTTTAATTCATTGAAATAGTCATAAACGGCACTGCAAGCTTGGGTGTCATTGAAAGAGGATGGGTCTTTCAGAAGGGGATCTTTAACTTGGCAGCCTACCTTTGGGGTTCTCTGTCTAGATGGAATCCAATCAAGCACTGCAATTGCATCCTTATCCAACTTCAGGTAGGTGTAGCACTCTGCAATCTTATACTTGACCTCAATCTCTGAGGGCAAACTCTGAAATAAAGAAAAATTGCATTTGGTCAATTCAGAAGGCATTGCACATTGTGCACAATTACATATACAGTCTGTAGAGCAGCTCAGTCAAATGTGCATTATTTGTAATGAATGACATGGATGCCTGTTGCTACAGCCAGATATGTTGTAATTGACAGAGAGTTGGGAGCCTTGCACACCTGTGACTGCAAGGAGGATGCAGTTCCCCCGGTAGATAGGCGCACTTTAGAAGTTTTGCTGAGAACTTTCTTCTGCTGCAGTGCCCATGTTGTACTTGCAAGCAGCATTACGGTACTCCTTGTCATGGAAGATGGCATCTGCATGATAAACCAGCAGCTGGTACTTCTGGGATGGTGAGAACAGCTCTCTGAAAGAACAGATGTGGCACATGCATCACCCTATTTGACTGACAATAACTATATGAAGTGGTCAAGGAAATTAGCAATGAACATACAAAATCTTTTCACAAATAGTCACAGAATTAATCCAGATACAACTACACTGAACAAAAAATTAAAACGCAACAACCTGTAAAGTGCTGGTCCCAGAAATGTCCCTCAAATTTTGTGCACAAATTTGTTTACATCCCTATTAGTAAGCATTTTACCCTTTGTCAAGATAATTCATTCACCTGACAGGTGTGGCATATCAAAACGCTGATTAAACAGCATGATCATTACACAGGTGCATCTTGTGCTGGGCAAAATGGAAGGCCACTAAAATTTATTTTTGTCACGCAACAATGCCACAGATGTCTCAAGTTGAGGGAGCTTGCAATTGGCATGCTGACTGCAGGAATGTCCACCAGTTGTTTCCAGATAATTTAATGTTAATTTCTCTACCATAAACCGCCTCCAACATAGTTTTAGAGAATTTGTCAGTATGTCCAACCGGCCTCACAACCGCAGATCACGTGTAACCACGCCAGCCCAGGACCTCCACATCCAGCTTCTTCACAGGCAGGATCTTTAGTGGTTGGGCCTATGCCCTCCCAGACCCACCCATGGCTGCGCCCCTGCCCAGTCATGTGAAATCCATAGATTAGGGCCTAATTAACTTTTTCAATTTACTGATTTCCTTATATGAACTATTGGGGATTTATTATTCTCCTAAATTGATGGGATGACTAACTTAGAAAGAATGCAGTCTTGACTGGGCTAATGTAGGCTGTGACACCTGGCAAGGCTGTGATTGATGTGAAGAGCTGTTTTAGGGGTTAAAATAAGATAAGGATTGTGTCTTCAAATGCTAGACTATAATAGTTATTTGTGATCTGTGAGCAGTGGCGGCTCCTGAAAAAATTCTCAGGGGGGGCAATTTTTCTGATGATTTAGGTGACCTACACACATTTTAAAAAAGATATGTCCAGCAACAACATGAAGACAGGGGCAGCATATAAGTCAATACCAGAAGCATTTATTGACTGATCTGGGGAGATGGATTCCAGTTTCTGTGACAGATTATAAATAATCTCTGATGCCTTTGTTATATTAGCTTTTGGTTGAATGTACACAACGGTAACAAACAATTGGGGGAACTCACGGGGCAGATAGTAAGGTCGCAGTGACACAGAAAGCAGTTCAATGTCGGGGGTACAGAGTCGCTCTCTTACCAGGATCGATTTTCCCTGTGACTGTCAGATCGCGGTCCGCTCTGACCAGGGTGAAGCCGGCCGGCTCCACTTCTCTGTCCGGGACTCTGTCATCCAGCCAAGTCTCAGTAAATGCCAGCAAACAGGCCTCCCGATATTCGTGTTGGAAGCGCAGATTCGCTGACAACTCATCCGCTTTCCCCCTCAGTGACTGGGCAGTAATCAGCAAGGTGGTGGGTAAGGGAAGTTTGTTCTTAATTTTTTTTAAAGTCGTTGTCTGATTCCCCCGCGTTTTCCACGTTTGCATTTGGGTTTGTAATCCACTCGCAGACAATCAGGTATTAGATGGGCCATTGGGATATCCATCGCGTTCGTATTTGAGTTGCATTGTAGTAAAAACTCCCTGCTGTATTGGATTCCGCTGCCAGCAGCGTTTTCATTATTTAGTCCGTTCGTAGCGGGTATGTACACGATCAACAAGATCAGTCCAAAACCCACCACTGGAAATCCATGGTTGGCAGAATGTTTGTAAACTAAGTGTACAAATTAAAAACATAAAATAACGCCACTAAGTGTACAAATTAAAAACATAAGATAACGCCACACTGCAGGTCGCAACAGAGACGCTGCTACCCGCTATTTTCTTAGTTACGTTCATGGTTACGTTACGTATGACGAAAGCGCGTAAGTGCAAGCCCTCAGAAACCCATAGAGATTGTATTGAAAGCTCTGAAATTTGAAAAAAATAGATTTTACATGGGAGTCTATGACAGACTTCTGGGCGATTTTCAACCTGACTGAAATCGCCCCAAAAGGGGGGGGGGGGGGGCATTTGAAGCATGACTTTAGCCTGATTGGACATTTAGTGGCAGTCAGATCAGATTAGAACACTGATAACTACTGTTGCCGTGATATAATTGATTAGAAAAAAAATCCCTTCCTTTTCCCGTTTGGCAGTGCGTCGCCCATATCGCCCTATTGAACACACCGCCCCTGTCTGTGAGCCTTCCTTTGACTAGGAATGATGTCTAAGGGAGCTGGCTCTTCTCACTATGATAGGTTGTTATGATAATCTTGTGCCTGGCTGAAGTGTGTAACAAATGGCGCCGAGGAGATGAGAGCAACCCCTGAATCAACGGATTGGCTGAGAAAGTTTAAACCACGCTCAAGTCTTTACTCTAATTGGCCAGCAGAGAAGTGGGAAACTCCCTCTGTCAGAGTATTTGGGTATTGTTTCTGGAACAATGTGTTAGTTGTCTGGGGTGTTCTGCGAGACATCTCAGAGAGCCCGTATATACGAAACATCATATTTACCATTGAAGGTTTTTGCATTAATTAAAATAACTAGTATACCTTAGAAGTCGTGTTGACCTCTTTTGTTCCTAATACCAGATTTGAATTGACGCGACTTTGACAGAACTGTAACTCAAAATCGGTTAAATTGTTGCGTTTATATTTTTGTTCAGTATACATTTACACCCATCTTAAGCTCGTTAGCTAGCTAGAAAGATTGCCAAATGCGTCCTTGTCAATTTAACTCGTGACGATAAGCATGCATTTATTAGGACACGTGTTATCTATTGTACAGAATTAGATGCTCTTGAAGATGATCGAACGGATTTCATAACTAGTTAGGTAGCTAATAACATTCAGATGGGTGTTCAGTAGCTAGCCAGCCAGCTAGCTAATACTTACGGATTGTTATTGCTCATTGTCAGCAGTAAGCCACTCATTATCCGAACGTTTGAGTGAAGTCCCGCGGCGGCCATATCCCGCACATGATCTATGACGTTCATTTCGATGTATTTTGATGGCTTGCTTTAAGATCAAAATCTAAAGTTTAAAGTTAACGATTGCAGATAGGTAGCTTACTTGTTTGCTATCATCACAAACTGCGATGTATTAAATATGGTTACGTTACGTATGACCCATCAATGTTTTTTTCCTCCTCGGTATAAATGATTACAATTTAAGTAATATGTTTTAAATACTTAAAAGGCCACTCCGTCAAAGTTTTCTTGTTCAGGCGAATAGAGTACGACAGTATGAGTCATAATACCAATAAAACCTAACAGTCACACAGGGAAATGATCAGGGATGCTAGGTTTAGCAGAAATTTATAGGCTAATGAAATCTGAAAACCCGCCCACAAGGCCTGAAAACTAGCCCAAAAATGTTTTTCGCAGCAAGAGAGGAGTTGCCACATTTATCCAATAAACCTTTTTTCGCCCCAATAACGTTATTGAGCGAATTAAGGAATATCGACGTCATTTTTAACGACGTAGGCTAAGAAGCAAAATTCGGTTTTCCATCAAAATAATAATTCTTGCGAGTTTAAGAATGTAGCAAGACAAAAGATAATCAAATCGAATCAAATTTGATTTGGCACATGCGCCGAATTCAACAGGTGTGTAGACCTTACAGTGAAATGCTTACTTACAAGCCCTTAACCAACAATGCAGTTTTAAGAAAAAATAGAGTTAAGTAAAAAATAGATAGTTGAAGCCGGAAGTTGGGTTGGAGTCATTAAAACTCGTTTTTCAACCACTCCACAAATTTCTTGTTAACAAACTATAGTTTTGGTAAGTCGGTTAGGAGATCTACTTTGTGCATGACACAAGTATTTTTCCAACAATTGTTTACAGACAGATTATTACACTTATAATTCACTGTATCACAATTCCAGTGGGTCAGAAGTTTACATACACTAAGTTGACTGTGCCTTTAAACAGCATGGAAAATTCCAGAAAGTGATGTCATGGCTTTAGAAGCTTCTGATAGGCTAATTAACATCATTTGAGTCAATTGGAGGTGTACCTGTGGATGTATTTCAAGGCCTACTTTCAAACTCAGTGCCTCTTTGCTTGACATCATGGGAAAATCAAAAGAAATCAGCCAAGACCACAGAAAAAAATGTGTAGACCTCCACAAGTCTGGTTCATCCTTGGGAGCAATTTCCAAACGCCTGAAGGTACCAAGTTCATCTGTACAAACAATAGTACGCACGTATAAACACCATGGGACCACGCTGCCGTCATACCGCTCAGGAAGGAGACGCGTTCTGTCTCCTAGAGATGAATGTACTGTGGTGCGAAAAGTGCGAATCAATCCCAGAACAACAGCAAAGGACCTTGTGAAGATGCTAGAGGAAACAGGTATAAAAGTATCTATATCCACAGTAAAACAAGTTCTATATCGACATAACCTGAAAGGCCGCTCAGCAAGGAAGAAGCCACTGCTCCAAAATCGCCATAAAAAAGCCAGACTACGGTTTGCAACTGCACATGGGGACAAAGATCGTACTTTATGGAGAAATGTCCTCTGGTCTGATGAAACAAAAAAAGAACTGTTTGGCCATAATGACCATCGTTATGTTTGGAGGAAAAAGGGGATGGCTTGCAAGCCGAAGAACACCATCCCAACCGTGAAGCACAGGGGTGGCAGCATCATGCTGTGGGGGTGCTTTGCTGCAGGAGGGACTGGTGCACTTCACAAAATAGATGGCATCATGAGGAAGGAAAATGATGTGGATATATTGAAGCAACATCTCAAGACATCAGTCAGGAAGTTAAAGCTTGGTCGCAAATGGGTCTTCCAAATGGACAATGACCCCAAGCATACTTCCAAAGTTGTGGCAAAATGGCTTAAGGACAACAAAGTCAAGGTATTGGAGTGGCCATCACAAAGCCCTGACCTCAAGCCTATAGAAAATGTGTGGGCAGAACTGAAAAAGCGTGTGCGAGCAAGGAGACCTACAAACCTGACTCAGTTACACCAGCTCTGTCAGGAGGAATGGGCCAAAATTCACCCAACCTATTGTGGGAGGCTTGTGGAAGGCTACCCGAAACGGTAGGCAATGCTACCAAATACTAATTAAGTGTATGTAAACTTTTGGCCCACTGGGAATGTAATGAAATAAATAAAAGCTTAAATAAATCATTTTCTCTACTATTATTCTGACATTTCACATTCTTAAAATAAAGTGGTGATCCTAACTGACCTAAGACAGGGAATTTTTACTAGGATTAAATGTCAGGAATTGCGAAAAACTGAGTTTAAATTTATTTGGCTAAGGTGTATGTAAACTTCCGACTTCAACTGTATTTTTTAAGAGAAAAGCCATGGCGGCTGCGTAGAAGTAGCCCAAAAATATTGTTTTCAAAGTATCAGTGGTGGAAAAAGTACCCAATTGTCATACTTGAGTAGAAGTAAAGAGACCTTAATAGAAAATGACTCAAGTAAAAGTCACCCAGTAAAATACTACGTGAGTAAAATTCTAAAAGTATTTGGTTTTAAATATACTAAAGTATCAAAAGTAAATGTAATTGCCAAAATATTCTTAAGTATCAAAAGTATAAATCATTTCACATTACTTATATTAAGCAAACCAGAGGACACAATTTTCTAGTTTTTTTAATTTACAGATAGCCAGGGTCACACTCCAACACTCAGACATAATTTACATACTAAGCATTTGTGTTTAGGGAGTCTGCCAGATCAGAGGTAGTAGGTGTGTTGTTATTTTTACATTTTAGTCATTTAGCAGACGCTCTTATCCAGAGCGACTTACAGTTAGTGAGTGCATACATTTTTTATACTGGCCCCCCGTGGGAATCAAACCCACAACCCTGGCGTTGCAAGCGCCATGCTCTACCAACTGAGCTACACGGGGGGCCTATGTGTTAATAACATGAAGACTACTTTACCCAGCAGGCTATGCGAGGGGGGGAAGTGGAAGTATGCCTTGCATTGCTACACAAGGAGATTTCTGGCTAAAGTATCCGTTTATTAAAAGTAGTTCAACCTACGCCCTGGTTTGTCATTAGTTAAAGGAACAAACATAACATGGTGTCAGAAGTGGGATAAATAATAATTTCTCAAAATGCTGCAAAGCTGAGGATACAAAGAAAAAGGTTCACACAGTCAAAGAGGAGACTGAAGAATCTTTGTTGATTCTGTGGAAAAATGCAATGCAGTAAAAGCTGAATGGATTGTGCCATTGACTGTGAATGAAACTATAATACCATTCAAGCTCGATACTGGAGCTCAGGTAAACCTGTTGTCGCTGGATGACTACAAAACACTGAAAGTGAAGGCAAAATACACCCTGTGAAAATCAAGGTTACTGGTTATACTGGGGAGAACGTACCAGTTAAAGGAAGCTGCATAGTAACTTTACAGCACAAAGGAAAACAGTTCAAAGCACAGCTTCTGATCGTGGAAAAGATTGTACAGCCTATTCTAGGAATCAGTGCATGTGAAAAGCTCAATTTGGTGAAAAGAGTGTATGTAGTGACATCACAGACTGAAAATGACCAGGAATCGCTACTGGCTGAGTATGAGGACGTGTTTGAGGGTCTCGGATGTTTACCTGGAGAACACAAAATATGTACTGATGACAAAATTACTCCAGTTGTGCATGCATGCAGAAAAGTTCAATTTGCACTGAGGAAAAAGCTCAAGGAGGAACTCGGACGCATGGAAAAGATGGACGGCATCACAAAAATCTATGAACCTACAGATTGGGTAAGCTCACTGGTTATTGTGGTGAAAAAGAACAGTGTCTAGACCCGAGAGATCTCAACAAAGCTATCAAGTGAGAGTATTTCAAGTTGCCAACCAGAGAAGAGATAATGTCATAGTTTGCTGGAGCAAAGTGGTTCAGTAAGCTTGATGCCTCATCAGGATTCTGGCAGATGAAGCTAGATGATGCAAGCTCAAGGCTATGCACATTCAACACACCTGAGGGCAGGTACAGATTTTTTCGTCTACCATGTGGGATTCTCTCAGCGCCAGAGGTCTACCACAAGACAATTCACATGATCTTCAAGCACATTCCAGGAGTAAAGACCATGATGGACGACATCATCGTCTGGGGGTCCACAAAAGAAGAACATGACGCGCGAGTGAGACAAGTGCTGGACCTGACACGGAAAGTCAACCTGAAACTAAACAAGGACAAATGCGAGTTTGGTGTGAAAACACTTACAGTGGCTTGCGAAAGTATTCACTCCCCTTGGTATTTTTCCTATTTTGTTGCCTTACAACCTGGAATTAAAATGGATTTTTGGGGGGGTTGTATCATTTGATTTACACAACATGCCTACCACTTTGAAGATGCAAAATATTTTTTATTGTGAAACAAATAAGAAATAAGACAAAAAAACAGAACTTGAGAGTGCATAATTATTCACCCCCCCAAAGTCAATACTTTGTAGAGCAATTACAGCTGCACGTCTCTTGGGGTATGTCTCTATAAGCTTGGCACATCTAGCCACTGGGATTGTTGCCCATTCTTCAATGCAGAACTGCTCTAGCTCCTTCAAGTTGGATGGGTTCCGCTGGTGTACAGCAATCTTTAAGTCATACCACAGATTCTCAATTGGATTGAGGTCTGGGCTTTGACTAGGCCATTCCAAAACATTTAAATGTTTCCCCTTAAACCACTCGAGTGTTGCTTTAGCAGTATGCTTAGGGTCATTGTCCTGCTGGAAGGTGAACCTCTGTCCCAGTCTCAAATCTCTGGAAGACTGAAACAGGTTTCCTTCAAGAATTTCCCTGTATTTAGCGCCATCCATCATTCCTTTAATTCTGACCAGTTTCCCAGTCCCTGCCGATGAAAACATCCCCACAGCATGACGCTGCCACCACCATGTTTCACTGTGGGGATGATGTTCTCGGGGTGATGAGAGGTGTTGGGTTTGCGCCAGACATAGCATTTTCCTTGATGGCCAAAAAGCTCAATTTGAGGTTTATCTGACCAGAGTACCTTCTTCCATATGTTTGGGGAGTCTCCCACATGCCTTTTGGCGAACACCAAATGTGTTTGCTTATTTTTTTCTTTAAGCAATGGCTTTTTCTGGCCACTCTTCCATAAAGCCCAGCTCTGTGGAGTGTACGGCTTAAAGTGGTCCTATGGACAAATACTCCAATCTCCGCTGTGGAGC